CTGCTTCCGGCCGCCCCGCTTCCAGCCCTCATTCAGCCAGGAGGAGGCAGGAGAAGAGGGAGGGTAAGTTGCTTCCTCCCTGCCTCTCCCCACCCCTGCCTGCCTGGGGCCAGGGAGGGCCTTCGCGGGGCTTCCTTGTACTCCCACCGGCCTTGCAGGTCCACCGCCGGGCCCCTCATGGGGCTCGGCAGTGGAGCTGCAAGGCCAGCGACGGCGGCCGGGACCGTTGGGGGCGGGGTGTGTGGCCTTATGACACACTTCCGGTGATGTCAGGGGGTGTGGCCTTATGACACACTTCCGGTGATGTCAGGGGGTGTGGCATATGCTAATGAGTTATGCTAATGAGTTCCCCTAGCTTTTTTTCTACGAAACGACCCCTGCCCTTCCCACAACAGACACCCTGTCAGGAAGGTGGGGCTGAGAGAGCTGACAGAAACTGCTCTTTTTCAAGCATAGCTGTGCCAGAACTATGGCTTGCCCAAGGCCATCCAGCAGCTGCGAGTGGAGGAGTGGGGAATGAAACCCGGTTCTCCCAGATTAGAGTCCGCGCACTTAACCACTACACCAAACTGGCTCTCTAAGTGACAGAATCAGGAAAAGATAGCCAAGGAAGATGGCCTGCATGCATTTATAGGGTTACTGGTTTTTTTCTTTCTAGTGGCCTGTAAGGTTTTTGGAACTGTTATGCTGGAAATTATCTCAAAAAAATGTGTAGCTCACCACAGGGCCTTTTGCTATGCAGCAAGTTGTCTCAAGCTATTCTGACTGTCTGCAAACATTATTTAAGACTACGTCTGATGTGCAGCGCATTTTTGATTAGGATAAAAGCGTGTTTCAGAGATGAGTGATAGTCTTGTCCTCTTCACAGTCAGCTCCCTTCCCTCAGTGCCAAGTCTTCTGTTTTTATAGATCCCGTCATAGCAATAGCTTTGTGGCACAGATAATGTGAAAAATATGGGATTGTGGGGAATGCAATTGAATTTTTCTGGCTCAGGTTTTTTGTTTCAAACAAATGTTGATGCAACACATTCTGCTCTATCTCTATGAAAATTGCCCCCCCCCCCCGAAAACATCAAATCTTTCACGCTTGGTTGTGATGTTCCTTGGTTGCTGCTGAGAAAATAACAGTATGAGTTGACAAAGCTCCTGCCGCTGTGAGGCCGGAAATAATCAAAGGCTTCTATCCTTAGCAATAAAACTCCGAGCAAAAAATAAATCTGTGACCCTAACATCCCTCCTGGGTTTATGTTCTGTGTTGGGGGGAAAAAAGAAATTTTGTATTGTGGAAAAGCAGCCTAACCGGTAGCAGTTGCTTTTGGCAGAACACAAAGAGGGGTGGATTGGCCAGTTTGGTGTCGTGGTTAGGAGCGTGGACTCTAATCTGGGAGAACTGGGAGAATCTAATCTGATCCCCCACTCCTCCACTTGCACCTGCTGGATGACCTTGGGCAAGCCATAGTTCTGACAGGAGCTGTCCTTGAAAGGGCAGTTCTAGAAAGAGTTCTCTCAGCCCTACCTATCTCATGGGGTGTCTGTTGTGGGGAGGGGACGGGAAAGGAGTTTGTAAGCCGCTCTGAGACTCCAACTGAAGGGCGGGGTATAAATCCAATCTCCTCCTCCTCCTCTTTGTTGTAGTGGTTAGGAGAACGGACTCTAATCTGGGGAGAACCGGGTTTGATTCCCCGCTCCTCCATATGCAGCTACTAGTGTGACCTTGGGCCAGTTACAAGTTCTTTCAGAGCTGTTCTCTCAAGGGCAGTTCTCGAGAGAGCTCTCTCAGCCCCACCTACCCCACAGGGTGTCTGTGGTGGGGAGGGGAAGGGAAAGCCACTCTGAGACGCCTTCAGGTAGTAAAGAGCAGGGTATAAATCCGTCTCCTCTTCTTCATTAAGGCCACTGGGAAAATTTCCAGTGGGCCAATGGTTTCTCCAGGCCATTAATTTATTTGCCTGTTTTATTTCTCCACTTCCTCCCAAATATGTCAGTATATTGATTATTTTGAACCGCTCTTATTTGATAAGGGGGGGGGATTCCCTCTTCCTGAAGGTTTGATTGAAAGTGAAATAAAATCATACAATTCTGCCAGTACGAAGACTTTAAAGGGTGCTTTTGCACGTGCTAAACAGTGACTGTTTGCAAGTGAACTTTGACATTTTACACAGTAAAATCCAGTTGCAAATACAGTAGCCAGGTCTGGGTTGGAAAATACCTGGAGACTTTGGGGGTGGATCCGGGAGAGGGAGGGGTTTGGGGAGGGGAGGGACCTCAGCACAGTACGATGCCACGGAGTCCCCCCCTTCAAAGCAGCCATTTTCTCCAGGGGAGCTGATCTCTATCAGCTGGAGATCAGCTGTAGAAGCGGGAGATCTCCAGGCCCCACCTGGAGGCTGGCACCTCTCGTTGCAAAGTGCATTGAAAGTGTGTTATTTAGTGTGTGTGTGTGTGTGTGAAAGCGCCCATTATTTTGGATTTGCGTTAAGCGAATTATGTACAAGTAGCAGTAATAAATGCAGGTCAGCATGATTAAATACAGGCGGCACTGATGAAAGAGTATCTCAATGCGTTACGCCAAGAACTTAACAAAATGTGTCTGACTCAGTCCCCCTCTTCTAATGTGCTGTTTTCAGCTATACCCAGCCCCGTCCCTACACTGTTTATCCCCCCCCCCCCCCTTTCCGAACCCTCCTCACATTTTTTAATTACAAAAATTACTTTCACTGGGAGAGTTATGACTGACGTAGCCCCAGCCCTGGCCCCATAGTGGGGCCATTGTTTGTCCCTCCCAACCCGTGAAATCTCTTCTGAATGACTGCCTCCTAGCAACGAAAAGCTAAATCCCGTTTGCTCCGTCTCCCAGATGGAGAGTTTCCACGCAACGTCTAAATAGCCAGTGCCTTTAATACTGCCTTCTGAGTGTCTCTTGAAGTAGGGTTGCCAGCTCTGGGTTGGGAAATTCCTGGAAATTTGGGGAGGGGGGGTGGAGCCTGTGGAAGGGAGGGACCTCAGCAGGGTATAAAGTCCGCCCTCCAAAGCAGCCATTTTCTCCAAGGGACCTGATCTTGGTCATCTGGTGATCAATTCTAATAGTGGGAAATCTCCAGATGCCACCTGGAGTCTTAGGGAGATGCCACCTTAGAACCCGGTCCTACCTAGCTGCCAGCAGGGGGGACTTATGATCCTTTGTGAGTGCCTCTTGCGCACTAACAAAGCAATGACGTCACCCAGAAGTGATGTCATAACGTTTCCAATGTTGGGGGCAACGCTCTAGGTTTTGGGCAAAATTCTATGGGTTTTTTGGTCCTCAAAAACCATAGAGTTTCCCCCAAAATCTAGAGCATCACCCCTGATGTTGGAAACTGTTATGTACGCGGACCACCACCAGGGGTCCGTGGCTTAGCAGGAGCTTGGTCCCCAAACACAAAGGGGACCTCGGATCCTAGTCCACCTCGAGCCCACCAATAGAACCTTGGTGGGAAATTCAAACCCTCCAATGGGACCATAGGTGTGCCAGGTGGAATGTATATAGTTGGCCTTGCAAAGCCGTTGTATTCTTCTTGTTGTGAAGTACAATAAACGCGTCTGAAGGCATGTCGTAGTCTGAGCATTTCGTGTGGCGAACCCAGTACTTTACAGAAATGTGATGATGTCACTCCTGGGTGATGTCATGGCACCAGGAGGGAACTTCTCGGGGCTGGGGCTTCCCCTACTGGCCAGCTGGGCCACGACAGATTGGGCCCCCCCAAAATCAAGGGATACCCTGGCCCCATGGAGAATGGCAACCCTATGGAGGCTGGGTCACATAGGAGACTGGAACAGCTGGAATAACTCAGGCCCTGCTTGGTAAACCTCCTTTTCTTTACGGAGAATGGCAACCCTATGGAGGCTGGCGATCCTGCTCTTGAAGGCAGTTGATTCTGAGACAACAGAGGTCTTTAGGAGGCCTTTGGGTCACATAGGTGACTGGAACAGCTGGAATAACTCAGGCCCTGCTTGGTAAATCTCCTTTTCTTTCTCTAGTGCCATTAAATCAGGATATGATGGGGGGGGGGTATGGCTGCACTATGGCAGAAAATAGGGCAGGATCATTCCTCTCTTGTGTTTCTTTCTCTGTATTCTTGAGCAACTTTCCCCCCGTCTTTAAAAAAAGGGAGTGGATATACAGTTACGGTTTGTGCAGTTAGTATAAGTAACACATTCTTCGACTGTTCCCCTTCATTTCTGAGCTGTGTTGCTATTCCTGAATTGCAGCACTTCTCGTTCGTCTGAGAAATCTGTATATGTAGCTATAACATGACACTATTGATGCCAGATTTGAATGCTGAGATCTCAGAACATTTTTGACCATGCAGTCAAAGGTATGGGAGCCACTGAAGAATAGTGTTGTCGATTCCCATGACTTAACTAGCATAGTCTCAAATAGTTTGATTTGGAATTTACTAGACGATGATAGCTGTTGAGGCCAGGTAATTAAGCTTTAAGGCTAGGCACTTGAATACTAGATTTAGTTTCTCACATTGGTTTGCATAAGTTCTCTTGAAAATTTATATGTGAAATATGCCATAAATTAAAATGCTGGGTGCAGAGAAGGGTCAGGGAGTTGTTGAAAATCGTAGTAAGATTATTTGTTCTCTATAGAATTTTTTTCTGCAGCACATGAGGTGAGCAATTGAAAGAGACTTCTCTATGCTAAAAATTAGAAAGCTAAAGAATCAGCATAATCAGCTACTTAATGCAGTCTGGGCAGCAATATTGTTTTTCTCTCTCCTCACGATGGTTTGGTAAATGTTTCTCCCCATTCTGAGGTAAATTGTTTAAATGTCAGACAACAGAATTTGCTCTAGCACATTCTATAATGTAAAAAAGAGGCTGTGATGAAAGCCGGAACTTGTTCCCTTGACCAAATGACCAGATCTTATAGTGGAAAATAAATTACATATTTCCCTTCAGCTTTATATAAAACCTGGCCTGGTCTTAAATAAAATCCATGTATCTCCTTGCAGGCTACGCCACTGCGAGATGCTTTGCTTCATTCTACCACAGAGAAGGTGGTTCCTGCTGGCACTTGGAATAGTTACGAGCACCCCAGCAAGCAGTTTATGTTAGAACTTGACTCCTCGTTCCATCCCGTCTTATCATTTCCATCAGGTAAAATGGGTCCTTGCTGTATATAGGATCCGTTCTTAACAGTATGTTGTAGCACCGGTCATGTTTTGAAACAATGATAGAATACGCCCTATACTGGAAGAAAGATTTCGGAAAAAGGGCTTCAGCAGAATAATATTTTTCCATGCTGAACTTTCCTCGGGTGCAGTCCACATTCCACTGACGTTAGCAAAGGAACTTCCATTGTCGGGTGTATTCTAAACACGTAGAGTCTCCCTCTCTTCTCTCTCCCTCTCACACACACGCACACACCCTATACCCCAAGAGTAACAGTTATGAAACAGAGAATGGTTGCTGCATTTTGATCCTGGATTCATTGGCAGATGCAAAAAAGGAAGAGACATCAGAAAGTTGGTGCTTGTATACAAGGGGTCTCTGAAAGAGGGTGTCAGTGAAGTAGCCTGTGGGAAATTAGAGGCATCACATTAGCCTTCAGCATAATCCAATATGTGGGGCTGCCAAGCTCTAGGTGGCACATGGAGAGAGATACCAACAAAGTTTAATTCTGGGTATTAGCAAGAACAGAGTGACTTTTGTTGCTTCAGACCAACACAGCTACCCACCTGCATGCATCTATGAGGGTCATAAGAACATAAGAAACATAAGAGATGCCAGTGTTGGATCAGGCCAAAGGCCCATCCAGTCCAACACTCTGTATCCCACAGTGGCCAGAAATACCAGGTGCCATCAGGAGGTCCACCTGTGGGGCCAGGACACTAGAAGCCCTCCCACTGTTGACCCCCCCCAAGCACCAAGATGACAGAGCATCACTTGCCCCAGAGTCCCTATCTATACCTTGTGGCTAATAGCCACTGATGGACCTCTGCTCCATATGCTTATCTAATTCCCTTTTGAAGCCGTCCATGCTTGTAGCTGCCACTATTTCCTGTGGCAGTGAATTCCAAGTGTTAATCACTCTTTGGGTGAAGAAGTCCTTCCTTTTATCTGTTCTAACCCGACCGCTCAGCAATTTCATGGAGTGCCCACGGGTTCTTGTATTGTGAGAAAGGGAGAAAAGTACCTCTTTCTCTACCTGCTCTTTCCCATGCATAATCTTATAAACCTCAATCATGTCACCCCTCAGTCGTCGTTTCTCCAAGCTAAAGAGCCCTAAGCGCCTTAACCTTTCCTCATAGGGAAAGTGTTCCAACCCTTTTATCATTCGGGTCCTCAGCTGTGAAAGTTAATAACCAGCACTTTGTATTGGGCTCAGCAAGAAATAGGTAGCCAATGCAGTTGACGCAGCACCGGAGTCATGTGTTCTGGGTGGCGGACCCTTTGCTGCTGTGTTCTGCCCCGGCTGGGGATTCCAAGATGTCTTCAGAGTCTACCTCATGTAGAGCATAAGAGCCAAGAACCAAGGTGTCAGACGCAAGGGAAAAGTCAAAGCTCGGCAATTCAGTAATCTGACTGTAAATATATCTAATTTAACAGTGACCTGCTTCAAACGAAACCTTCTTTCAGTCTGAGACTGTTGAAAATCCTCTCTGGTACAGTCAGTTGATTCCCACAGTAAAGGGGAAGAGGGAAAAAAGGCTGCCACAACTGGAGAAATCCCTTCAGATGGTGCCTGTATACATCCAGGCCATCGGGCTCTGACTCGATGAATGGGTGTGGAAAGTGCCCTCAAGTCACAGCTGACGTCTGGTGACCCTGTAGGGTTTTCAATGCAGGAGGTGTGCAGAGGTGGTTTGCCACGGCCTGCCCCTGCGTAACAACCCTGGAATTCCTTGATGGTCTCCCATCCAAATACTAACCCGGGCCGACCCTGCTTAGCTTCCAAGATCTAACACGATCAGGCTAGCCTGCACCATCCAGGTCGGGGCACTTGGTGAATTAGTATTTGGAATAAGCCGTGAGATACATACTCAGAGCACGTACGAGTGGCTATAAACAGACTTTGGTAGGGAGTTTTATTCCCTTTCGTGTAACACAGCTCTGTCTCTTTCAGATACTCCGCTTCATGTGCATTTGAAAGCCTTGCTTAAGAAGTGTGACGTCAGAGGAGACCCTTTCGAAACGGCCACCCTGGGCTTGGAGTTTGAAATGTCTCCACCTAATGGTATGCAGTCTGTTCGTTCCCCGTTCCAGGCTGTTTTTTTCTCCCATGTATGTTCATTGTTAACTGATGAGAATTCACGAGGCATATAAATGTACTGGGCAGCTTGCACTCTTAAAAAGGAAGGGCCGCGGTTTGGGGGAGGAAAAACAGCAGCTGAAACAAATATCGGAAGCTTATTCCTCACCCCCCACCCCTTTTAGTTTCGCAGAAAAGCAGGATTTTCAGGGGCTGACAATCTCAAAGATTTAAAAAACGGTCTTTTAAAAAAACTAAAACATTTTAATCCCATCTTTCCCCAGGCAAAAATACAATAAAACCAGAGAACACATTAACAACCCACAAAAGCACACGACGGACTTTATTAAAAATAGTTACGAAGCTCAGACCGTTGTCAAAATCTAAACACTCAACGTCCTTCGCTAAAAGCCCTCTGAAACAGAACAGCTACGCAGGGCTTCATAAAAAATTGGCAGCGACGGAACTCGCCTAGCCTCTTCCGTCAGTCTGTGGGCCCAATAAGTAGAACTGAACAGAACACAGATCGACAGGAGAGCTCTGTGAGCAGGAACTGACATGGGGAGCTTAAGTGGCCTCCAGTTTTATATCGGGGGCAGACGGTATCCTTTAGGTACGTCGGACCCAGATGATGATGGGCTTTAAATGCCTCGAGTTGAGCCTGGAAGCGGATAGGCAAGGTTTCAGAAGTCAAGTGTGATATGTTCTCAGCCACCCACCCCAGTTAAAAGAATGGCAGCTGCATTCTTCGTGAGTTGGAGCTTCCAATTTGTCTTTTAAGGGCAGTCCCATGTATGGCATGTTACAGTTGTCCAACATAGAAGTTTACAGGAGCATGGATCAGCTTGGGTGCATCAGAGAAGTCCACAAAGGGCGACACCAACAACTTTCAAGGAAGATCTAATTGAAAGAAGAGCCAGTTTGGTGTAGTGCTTAAGAACGCGAACTCTAATCTGGGAGAACCGGGTTTGATTCCCCACTCCTCCACATGCAGCTGCTGGTGTGACCTTGGGTCAGTCACAAGTTATTTCCGAGCTGTTCTCTCAAGGGCAGTTCTCTCAGAGCTCCCTCAGCCCCACCGACCTCTCACAGGGTGCCTGGTGTGGGGAGGGGAAAGGAGATTGTAAGCTGCTCTGAGATTCTTTTGGGTAGTGAAGGTCAGGGTATAAATCCAATTTCTCCTCTTCTTCTAAAAACTGTTCAACCTGCTTCCTCTGATAATAAGGTTTGGTCCAAGAATGCACCCAGACTCTTAATGTGTTCTGCAAATCTTAAACTTATCCCATCTGTGGATGGTGAATAAATCCTGAGTGTACAGCATGTTTTTAAAAAAACACTTTTAATTCATTTGTTACTGAAAATAAGCAAAACTAATAATGGCTCTTCTGGTTTATACTGTCTTTCTGATGTATCATTCTGTACTTAACAACACATTCACCCGGATTTAAGTCACTGTTGGGGATGTACATTTGGCATCATAGAAGTTATAGAATGTATGTCACTATAGAAGTTATAGAAGACTGAATTAAATATATCCATGTTGAAAAATCGACAACTTATCACTTTGGTGTGTTTGTATTATTGGTTGCAGGTAGGTTGAGGTTTCACAAGAATGCATTTGACCTCCTTGTATATTTATTTTTAATAAGGAAGAAACATTACTAAAATAATGCTTATTCTTTTGTAGACTATAGTCAGTACAAAGCTTCTCAGCAGTGGCGCTATGGACACCAGCCCAGTTCCAACCATCAGCCTCTGTCAGAAATAACTGCACAGCTACCAGAAGGAAGGAAGAAAAGACATTTCAGCGAGACAGCAATTGGTGAGCATTTTTCCCTTAAAAATGAAAGGAAAATGGGGAGGTACATTAGTACAAAGCACTTCCTTTACCTGCCCCGTGAGCCATAACTACCTCTATCCATGCTCATCTTTCCCTCATTCCCTCTCCCTGGCAAAACCCTCTCCTGTATCCCACTACTCACACGATTTCCTCTTTTCCTCCTCCTGGGAGTTCCCACATCCTCACCTTTCCCTGCTTCCTTTTCTCCTTCCCACCCACCATTATCTGGAATAGTACTTAATGGGGAGGGGGGGGTAGAACTCTGCACCCCTTATCTTCTAAGTTTCCAAGGAGGCCTGCTTGTCATCCCCACAGATGTATTCTTAGCTCTGCAACGGTACGTTGTATCCTTCAACTCTATGGTTTCCCCTCGGATGGTCGTGGCCCCGCCCCCGGCGTGCCCGGCGTGCCTGCGTCACTACTGGGTGACGTGGATGCGGCACGTGCGCTCCAGCCGCAAGCCAGGAGTTCCCCGCTGCGGCTCAATTCTCACTTGGCAACCCTAGCTGTTTACAACCTAATTTTCCCTCTTCCATTTTGTCCTCACAACAGCAACCCCATAAGGTCGGTTAGGCTGTAAGAGAGTGATGGATCCAAGGTCACCCAGCAAGCTTCCATGGCCAAGATCAAACCTGGGTGCCTCGGATCCTCATCACACACTCTGACCACTGCACCTCGCTGGCTCTCCTCTGTGTGTTTTGATGTACTGTATTGGTTGCTTAGAATACATTTAGAAACATTTATGGATACATAATTTTTTTCTCTTAGTGGCCGGAGAGAGCAACCACAGATTTGAAGCATTTCCCTTCCAGCAAGAAGAACAGGAACCCCATAACCATTTTACAGGAACTACCAACGGTGACGTCTCTCGGTCTAGTGATGGTGCATCATCACAGGTAGGCTAAGATTAACGAACCGGGGGATTGACAGCCTCGTCAAGTGATGTGGCACAAACTCAGCATGGGTTCTGTAAGGGAAGATCCTGTCTTTGAGGGAGTGAACAAACATGTGGACAAGGGGGACCCAATAGATATTGTTTACTTTGACTTCCAGAAAGCTTTTGATAAAGTTCCTCATCAAAGGCTCCTAAGTAAGCTCAAAAATCATGGGATAAAAGGACAAGTCCTTTTATGGATCCTGATCCAACATTGGCTTCTCTTATGTTCTTAAAGTATGGTCTCAAGGCCCATGGCTAAGCCAGTTTGCTAACCCTGGGACGTGGGGGGGGGGTTAGAACATTCTGCCCCTGGGCAAGGGCCCCCTTCGTGTTGCTCTTCCCCTTATTTGAAAGCATTGTACATGAGTGGCAGTACCATCCTAAGAATACTTTCTCATTCTATAGACTTCAGTAGGATTCCATGTGCAAATCTGCTTAGAACTATGCTGTCAGATGGGTTTCCTAAGTCTCTGACACCCCCATCCTGGCCTTTACCAGTATTTATTTATTAAAACATTTATATCCCACTTTCCCTCATGGTTCAAGGCGGCTTACAATAATAGTTAAAAACAAAACTAAAATAGCAAACCCCCAAACCTCTCCCCCTCCCCCCTTAAAGATGACCGCAGTTGGGCCCTCTCAAAAGCCCTGGCAAACAGGCAGGCCTTGCAGAACCTCTTGAAGATCTCGAGGGAAGGGACGCCCCCCCCCTTCAGAAAGCCCATTCCACAGAGCTGGATCCACAGTGGAAAAGTCCCAGGCTTGGATAGATGCCAAACTGGTCACCCGAAGCGGTGGGATAGCCTGATGACCACAGTTGGTGCACGGGGATGTACGGAAAAAGACAGTCCTTCAAACGGTGTGGTGTAGTGCATTCACAGTATTGCCAGGAGTATCTAGAACATAAGAGAAGCCATGTTGGATCAGGCCAGTGGCTCATCCAGTCCCACATTCTGTGTCTCACAGTGACCCAAACCCAGGAGACATCAGGAGGTCCACCAGCAGGGACAGAACTCCAGAAGACCTCCATCTGTTGCCCCCCCCTCCCCTGGTCACCAAGAATATAGAGCATCACTGCCCCAGACAGAGTGTTCCATCCATACCTTATATCTGGACTAGGATTCAAGATGCACAGCGGCTGCAGCAGAAGTGATATAAATTTTGCTTTGGACAGGAGCTAGGGCCCTTATTCTAAACCTTCGGAGTATAAGCATGAAAATGCTCAAACGTAGGGTCCCATTGCTTTTTAAAAAGATTCGGCCTCAAGAAAGCCCACTGTAAACAAAGTCGACATTTAGTTTTGCTACTGGAGTATGCAATATTTATTTTTCTTAAACGAATGAGCTCATATTTGGATGAAAAAGGCAATTTCCCTTAAAAACAGCAACAGCCACCTGCGTGTATAGAACTGACTTCCCCCCCCCCTGCATGGATGAAACTGCCAGACACTTTCTAGACACTTTTTAAAAAGTCCTTTGAAACAAGAACTGAACTTTCAGGAACCTGACTTGTGGTAGACGTCTTTGGTGGTGGGAAGGGCCATCAAGTCGCGGCCGATTTATTGCAGCCCCCCCTTAACTTCCAAGACCCAATGAGATCGGGCTAGCCTTGGGCTATCCAGACACGGCACAGATGCCTTGACATTTATCAAAATCCCACCTGAGCTTGGAATGTCATTCTGTTGATAGAATGGACAAAGATTCCGCAGTAAACAATGCATTTGTGTAGGTGGCAACCTGCCTTTCTATTGTGTTATGGTCTCATCTGTCAAGCAAACACAGGAAAGACTAAGGGCTTTTTGAATTCCCAAGCCCTTCAGGACAAGAGATGCAAACACACTATTTAGGAGCAGAAACTCCCTGCCTTGCCTCCTAGTAACAATAACGGACTCTTTTTATAGTTCCTATGCATGTTCTGTTTATCTCCTTCCACCGTAAACATTTTCTGCTGGTTAGGGAGCGGGACCATTAATGATATACTTTCCTTTAATTTCAAATTTATGAAGTTACGGAGAGCATTCTTCCAAATGCTGGCATTGAATGGGATTGAAGTCTCTAAATATTTTCCCAATTTTTCCCCAAGATGGAATAATTATTCTGTTTTCAGAAAGAATATGATACATTGACTTACAGGGGCCCAATTTAAGTACACCACCTGGTTGAATCCTGTATGGGAATTAAAGCAAAAAATCCAGTTCTTGATTTGAAAATATTGTAAAAATGTGATTTAGCTAAAAAAAATTTTTTTATAATGTAACATGTTTCTGTATATTGAACATTACTTCTAGAAATAGTGGCTCCAGTCGTAAGAACACTTGCCAAGAAGCAGGGCTCATACAATAAAATGAGCTTACTCTTGAGTAGACCTGTTTAGGATTGCTTTCCCCATAAATTAAATTGTGTTTCTCCCAGCTTCCCAACAGCATGTACTTTTTTTTCTGTTTAGGCTATCCTTGTAGTTCCAGGATTTCTTTTGTTACAGTTCTAATCAAATATCTGGTTTAAATACTTAACATAAACATAAGAACATAAGAGAAGCCAATGGCCCATCCAGTCCAACACTATGTCACACAGTGGCCAAAAATACCAGGTGCCATCAGAAGGTCCACCAGGAGGGCCAGGGGACACTAGAAGCCCTCCCACTGTTGCCCCCCCCCCAAGCCCCAAGAATACAGAACATCACTTGCCCCAGACCGAGAGTTCCTATCTATACCTTGTGGCTCATAGCCACTTGACATTCATTTGATTGCTTCCTCTCAACAAAGACGTTTTGGATGGGCTAAATGACCAAGCCCCTGTATCTATGAATTGCCCTGATGTTAAGGAGCCAAAGTGGTTTAAAAAACTGTTCACCATAAAAAGTTTTTTTAAAAAATCAGAATTTGTTATGATGTGGGTACTGGTTTTGTTCTAAGAAGGCAAACATCCACCATAAGTGGTGGTGTTGGGAAAGAGCACAGATTTTTTGGAAAAAAGTGTTACATTAAAAGTACTGAGAACTGATCTATACTTTGGAGCTGAAAATTTTCCAGTGAACTTTGCTGGGATGGGATTATACACTATTCCAGGAAGTGATACTAAACTTACTAATGTTAGCAGGAATATCTGTCTTTTGCACATCGCGGGAAGTCAGCACGTACCATGTTCTTCCAGCAGTGTACCTTGCTGGAAGTCAACTGGTCAAATGTTGGGAAACTGCATTATGCCATACAGAAAAAGAAATGACAGAGCATGTGAATAATTGCTAAAAGAGAGATTTATTATATTTCACCATAACAGAAATATTTTGTCTATTACATCATTCTAATTATTCAACATTTTAAAAGCTAGTTCGTTCAACTAGTTCCGTGGCATCAAAATATCCTTTTAACTTTCTACACACTGTAAGCTCAGAAAATCTCCAATTATTTTTAAACAGCTCAATTCAAGACGGAGACTGAGGAGTGAGAGCTCCTACGATATCGATAACATCGTTATCCCGATGTCGCTGGTTGCCCCATCTAAACTGGAGAAGCTGCAGTACAAAGAGATTCTCACTCCAAGGTACTTTTTTTTGTTGTTGCTTAATTTTCATTCACTGGACTTGCCCATCCAGGAGCCATCCCTAGAGTTTGTGGGCTAATTGTCCTCTCTTGCCACTGCCGCGCAGTCTGCTTTCGGGTCCCCAGTAACTGACCATCCCTCTCTGACATCCTGTGATCTCTGGCGGGAGAGAGATTGGCAAAACATATTTGTGTCCCCACCCCCGAAAGGTGTATATGTATATATTATATTTGGATATGGTAATCCATTCTGATTGGTAGCATAAGGTTTTCATGATGTCGTCAAAATGCCCAAGCCAATTTTTCCTACCACTTTTAATTTGGGCTATAACTCATGAACCAAGTGACCAATTTTCAAATTTTAAAACAGCTGGAAGGCTAATAAATCCCCGTATATATAACTACTAATAATAATGCTTTCCATTTATTAATCGCTTTCCCCAGTGGGCTCAAAGCGATGTACAGTTACTCAATATAGACAAGGGACTAACAATGTTTGTAGGGGATAGGGAAGACAACATATATTCATTTTAATTGCACGCGCCGTCACTGCCCGGTGTAGACGTCTTCTGACTGGCCCCATCATTTTCCCGCACGGTTGCTTGCTGGCCAGGCTTCAGGACCCGTATGTCGATCGCCACACTGCCACCACCTGGCTGGAACATCCATTGCAGGAGTTCTTTCCGTAGCCGAGAAGCTGTTTCGCCTTACAAGCCTTGTACCAATAATGCCTCTGTTCATCACAGGTTTTGTGATATAAGGCATAAATCAAAGAAAAAGTCATTTCCCCACATTTAAACTACATTTTTTAAAGCCAGTATTGCTTCTGAGCTCTGTAGGCCTAGCCCAACCTATGGTTTTGGCTACTGATGGTCCCACTGTCTGTCCCCCACCATGACTACAGCCAAGCCAGTGCGGGATAATGGTTAGAATGCCAGGTTAGGACTGGAGAGACCTGGGTTCAAATTCCCATCAAGCATGACGCTCACGGGGTAACCTTGAGGCAGTCACTTGTTCTCAGCCCAGCGTACCTCACAGGATTGTTGTGAGGATGAAACAAGGGAGAGGAGGGCGGTGAGCAGTTTTCCTGAGGTCTGTGGCTCACCTCCCCTATGAAGCATGGCTTATGTTTATTTAATTCATTCATTCGCACCCCACTCTTCTCCCCAGCGGGGACCCAAAGTGGCTTACAGTGTTCTCCTGTCCTCCATTTTATCCTCACAACAACCCTGTGAGGTAGGTTAGGGTCCGAGAGCATGACTGGCCCAAGGTCACCCAGTGAGCTTCCATGGCATGAGTAGGCTTGCCAAATCCCCCCGGGGGGGCGGGGAAACCCCCGCCCCAGAGGCCCGTTCCCCGCCGCAGGCGGATCGGGCCCCGGGGGGAACCCCACCCCGACGTGCACGTCACCCGGAAGTGACGCGACCACGCCGGGCACATCGCGCTTTGCGCGCACTCCAGCCGCCAGCCAGGAGTCCCCCGCTGCGGCGAAATTCAGACTTGGCAACCCTAGGCATGAGTGCAGGGATTCGAACCTGGGTCTCCCAGATCCTAGTCTGACACTTAACCACTACACCACGTTGGCTCTCTCTCCTACGTCTGTGTAGCACTAGGAAGAGGCAGATCAGCAGTCACGGCCTGCCTTCCTTCCCTGCTGCCAGCACTGTTGTTTGGGGGGAGGCGCGTGTGGCAGCCCGAAGGAACTGTGCTTGCCCACCCCTCCCTTTGGGACACGTACCAAACTCTGTCATGCTACCCAACCATCCAGTTAAATCACAGGTATGCCTGCGCCCAAGCAAAATGCTGCCTCGCTTGGGGCCAGAGAGAAGTTCATGTTCACTTGCAGCCCCATGGCTCTGAATCACACAAACATTTGCCATAGAAGTGAATTTAATTAGTTCATTTGCTGAAGAAGGGCATTTGTTGGGAGAAGTCATGTTTCACACTCTGAGAAAATGGGTTTTGTTCAGGTCTCCCGCACTAAGGATGCTTTTCTCACCAACAGCTGGAGAACCGTTAGCTTTGTGCCTCTGGCAAGTCTCCATGAAGATGAAGAAAAGGTAGACCGTATTTCCCCCCATCGGATGATATATAACTTTGCTGTGTAATATAATGTGTAGCAAAAGCTGCGATGGCTGATTGGTTAAGACACTGAACAGTAGACTGGAAGGTCGGTTGGTCGGCAGTTCGAGACCCGAGTACCGCATAATGAAGTGAGCTCCCGTCTCTGGTCCCATCTCCTGCCAACCTAGCAGGTCGAAAGCAAGAAATTGCAAGTAGATAAATAGGTACCACTTTGGCAGGAAGGGAACAGCGTTCCGTGCGCCTTGGCGTCTAGTCATGCCGGCCACATGGCCACGGAAACGTCTTCGGACAGCGCTGGCTCTTCGGCTTGGAAATGGAGCTGAGCACCGCCCCCTAGAGTCGGATTCGAGTGGCTTTTGAGCAAGGGAAACCTTTACCTTTAATATAATGTGTAAATGAGGATGTGCCCGCACTTAGCAGTCTATTATTCAACTGCTGTTCATTCCAGAGATAAGATCAAATACGTACATGTGGAATTTTGCAAGCGGCATTCTTAAACCTTTGAGCCGGAAAGTCCTTTCTCTGTGGCTTTTTAGATTCTCCCCCCCCCCCCAGTGTGTTTGGCTCAAGGCGGCTCACAACATTAAATTTAATACCATCTTAACATAAGTCAATCAGATAATAAATAACATTAAATCAATACATACATACAAAGTACTAACCAGGCCCGACCCTGCTTAGCTTCCGAGATAGGGCATGTTCCGGGTGGTATGGCCATGCAGTATATTCCCTTTTGGTTCCTACAGTCAGGAAATGAGTGGGCCAGTGCCAAGCCACAGGGGTCTCATGCAGCAGCAATAATAGGGAGGCCAAAAATGGGAGGTGCCTCTCTGTCCATTTTATTGCCTCATTTCTTTCCTTGTTTGCATTGTGAAGACTTAAGCCGGATACTGGCTGGCCTCATGGACTTTGTTTTTATGGGCTCTTTCCTCTTCTCAATGGCACTTAAGTACAATTGGGGTCTTAACAACCAGCCGATTCGGCTTTTGCGTTATTTTAAAAGACGGATGGCCTTCACTTTTTCATGCCTCACTATCCCAGGGAGCGCTTAATGACTCAGAAAGGAATGGATTTGTTTTACTTTATTACCTGTAGTCGTGTGTGTGTGTGTGTGTGTGTGTGTAGGTGTGTCATACATGTGTATTGCAGTGATAATAACCTGTAAGCAATGCTCCCTCTAAGCTGTGGAGTCTTGTGAGCAAAAACTCTGCTTTGTGAGCTCCTGGCATTCAAGTTGTGAGAGAGCAATTTGGCTGCTGCACAAATGAGTTTGCTCTGGAGCCCTCCCTTCCTGAGCTAGGACAAAAATGCGTGAGCCGGAGGCTAAGAAACTGTGAGCCAGCTCACATTAACTCAGCTTAGAGGGAACACTGCCTGTGAGCGATCTTCTTTTAAGCTGCTTCTTCACTCTTTCACAACATTTGCCACTTGGGCTCTTGAAATGCAGGTGGAAGACCTGTCCGACGAAGCGTATTCTTCACGGCATGCAAAATACGAAGAGAAAGAGAGAGCCCGGTGGTCACTGTGGGAGCAGTGCCAGTGGCCCAAACGCAACAGGCAGGTGGCCTCTCAGATCTGCATACAACCATCCTTGTTCACTGCTTATGGGCCGAGGACAGGGTGTCATTGGTTCCTTCAAGAACGAATATTCAGGTCCTCTGAATCCCGAGGCGCTTGCCAAACTGCTTTGCCAATGCCCCCTCATGGATCCCACCCCAGCGAGTTCCACTGTCCGCACAGCATGCTCACCTGAGCACACTTTCCCATTGAGTTTGGCGCCGCAGTTGCACATGCAGTGAAGCCGATCTGCCCCTGGTATCATAACGAGTGGGAAAGGGTTGTGTGTGCATTGAAACACCTGAAGGGATGTTAACAAATACTAAGTTAGAATGGAAATAGCTGTGTATATAAGTTTTGTAGTTAAATGTATAGGCAAGAAGAATGGAAAAGGGAAAATTTCATTAGAGATCCAAATCGATGGATAAATAAGGGAAATTTATGGCAGAGCCTTGAATTTTGTAGTGGCTTAAGTGGTTAAGACACTGAACTGCTGTGGAAGGTCGGTAGTTCAGCAGTTCGAGACCCGAGTGTGCCGCATGATAGAGTGAGCTCCCGTCTCTAGTTCCAGCTCCTGCCAGCCTAGCAGTTCGAAAGCAAGAGATTGCAAGTAGATAAATAGGTACCACTTCGGTGGGAAGGTAACAGCGTTCCGTGCACCTCGGCGTCTAGTCATGCCGGCCACATGACCACAGAAACGTTTCGGACAGTGCTGGCTCTTCGGCTTGAAAACAGATGAGCACCGTACCCCTAGAGTCAGATTTGACTGGCTTTTGAGCAAGGGAGACCTTTCCCTTTAAACGTCATGCAGAGTGATGGTTTCATTGTACCAGCTATGGTTTAATTGTTGGCCTAAAGGCAAGCAGGCTGTTTCTCTCAGGCGGAAGCTGGATTATTAACCGTGGCTAGTCTTAAGTATGCCTTGACCCGGATAGCCTGATCCGGTCAGATCTCGGGAGCTAAGCAGGGCTGGCCTCGGATAGTGTTTGGATGAGAGACCCCCAAGGAAGTCCAGGGTCGCTACGCAGAGGCCGGCAACGGCAAACCACCTCTGCTGATCTCTTGCCTTGGAAACCTCCATGAGGCGTGGCCGTAAGCCAGCTGCGACTTGGCGGCAAAAGAAGGCTCTTGATTATGACTTTACGAGCACAGACGTCTGGGGCCCAAACGTCTCTCCCCTCCCCAAACCCCACCCTCAAATCTCTAGGTATTTCTAGACCCAGAGTTGGCAACCCCACGCCTGAAAGAAATGCATTCTTTTCATCTAATGTTCTTACGGAAATATAGAGACTTACTTTCAGGTTTTTGATGGAGACGTTCAATGTTTAGCTTGCCTTTCAAAAAAACCCATGTAAGAAATCCGAATGTATCCACTTAAGATAGGGAAAGCAACTGGCTCTCCATCATCCATCTGGTCCGGAAGAAACTAGAGCTCTTTTTTCATTTCGCTGTAGAACATATAGCCGAAATTCGGAGGGATACGACACAGCGTTGAAACACGACAACTCTGACCTCACGTACCAGTTTGGCGAAGCCACTGCTGATGCTTCAGAAACCGACGGCTCTCTCTGCTCCAGCGTACCACCGTCGTTAGAAAGAAACCAAGAAGTAAGGATAGAAATGCGTCTTGTGATAGTGGGGTTTAAGTGGGCGGCTGAGGGTTCCTCTTGGCATCAGCGAAATAAATATAATTTGTTTAAATCCTCGTCCAGCTCTTTTCCATTGCGTCTTAGTTTGCACTCCCCAGCACGGGGTTGTAAACATATTCTTAATGCATTCATGTTAAGTGTTAAGCCTTAGTGTTTACTATTTATTAAGATCTGACCCCTCAGCAAGGAGAGGGGCTGACCCAATGTAGGGGGTGTTTGGGGCCTTGGGGAGGGGAGGGGGAAGAAAAAGGTCTGCTGTGATCACCAGGGTCAGGGCCTGGAAGCATTTTTAAATGACTTCAAAAGGGCGGTGGCGGCCGCAAGGATGCCGTCACATCGCGCCTGGCCCTAAAGTGTGAGCTGAGCTGGCCTCCATCATCAAAGGGCGACATCAGTTTCCACCTGTCTTCAGCGTTTTCAATATAGCCTTCTTGGAATGGATGGTTTCAGAGCTAACATTTGATGAGTTAGTGATGGTGATGGTGACCAGAGAGATCCAAGTTAAGAACATAAAGAGGAGCCATGTTGGATCAGGCCAGTGGCCCATCCGATCCAGCACTCTGTGTCACAGTGGCCAAAAATACCAGGTGCCATCAGGAGGTCCAGCAGTGGGGCCAGGACACTAGGAGCCCTCCCACTGTCCCCCCCCCAAGCACCAAGAATACAGAGCATCACTATCCCAGACATAAGAACATAAGAGAGAAGCCATGTTGGATCAGCCCAATGGTCCATCCAGTCCAACACTCTGTATCACGCAGTGCCCCAAACCCAGGTGCCATCAGGAGGTCCAGCAGTGGGGCCAGAACTCCAGAAGCCCTCCCACTGTTGCCCTCCAAGCACCAAGAATACAGAGCACCACTGCCCCAGACATAAGAACATAAGAGAAGCCTTGTTGGATCAGGCCAGTGGCCCATCCAGTCCAGCACTCTGTATCACACAGTGCCCAAAACCCAGGGGCCATCAGGAGGTCCACCAGTGAGGTCAGAACTCCAGAAGCCCTCCCACTGCCGCCCCCCCCCCCCAAGTTCAAATTCTCATTCCTTCCTGACTCTTACTGGGTGACCTTTGGCCGGTCCCCTTCTCTCAGCCTAACCTCACAGGGTCGTTATGAGGATACAATAGAGAAGGGGAGAAAGAACCGTGTGGCTCTTAAGCGAAAGGGTGGGATAAGAATGTGACAGTTAGACAATGTGCTTATAGTTAAGCCCCGTTGAAAGCTTGTTCTCTGCCCCATGACATTTGAAGACCTTTGTTTTATTGTTCGGAATGGCACTTGAAAACCGTGTTCTGCCTTGTTCAGGGTCTCTCTTTTGTCCCCCCCAGTCTATTTTGTGGGAACCTCGAACTTTTCCACTCAAGGAGAAAGAGGCAGAAGCCTTAATATGCCAAGAGCAGATGCCAGTTCCACAAGAAAGTTCAGCTCTGCCCACCCGCAGTGACTCTGACTGTGCCTCACTGGCTGCCTTCTTTTTGCCAAACTACCATGAACAGCACAGGAAAAGGTCTGCTGATGAGCTGGCAGATGGCAACCAGGTTGCCTTGGGAACCGGTGGCGTGAGAAGACAGAGGTGACAGAAGAGAAAGTGGCCGATAAAGAAAGCCAGTCTGGGCAAAGGATACGTGAGGTAAAATGTTTTCCCGCCCACACAAGCAGTAGCCGTTTCGACTCGCAGTATGGATACTTACCACACTTGTGTTTTTGTCTTTATCTCTGACAGGCAGAGGGAGATGACAAGGGCCATTCATTTTATCCTGAACCCCAAGGAAAAACCCTTCCAATCTGGAAATCTAACAGCCCATACGTCAAAAACGGATGATCCTAAACTACAACCCCCCTTACTGCACCATCTTAAACTAGTCTTCTTTTCAGATGTTCATGCACACGTACAGCGTAGCAGGATATATATATATGTTTTTTTTACTTAGCAAAGCAACAATTTCAACTGACCTCAGAAAAGCTACCTGGCACAGTGCCGGGGGGGTATCTGTCGGCTTGTGTGGCATAAAATATTTGTCCCCTTTACGGACACCTTTTTACCCGGGTGAGCAGTCGGCCTTTGCAAATTGGCCATGCGCTATACAGTTACTGAGTTCTCTTAAAAGGGAAAGCCTAAACATTTTACACAAAGAAACGGGAAATCAATTTAAGCAATTTATTCTTCTTTCTTTCACAATGGAGAGGATGGAGAAATCCAAATCCTACATTGCTGGAACTGCTATTTGAAAATATTTATTAAATGTAGAATATTTTTATCGCTCACCTTCTACTGCAGGTTACTGAGAGAGCCACAACTGATTTGAAATCTTTTCCCGAGCCCTCTGCCGGCCTAAAACCGTGCCCTCGGTTACAGTGGAACAGCACAAGCGTCTGTTCCATACCCAGCAGTACATAATATAGAGAAGCAGAAACCGAATAAGGCAACATTACAGATAAAGCAATTTCAGATACATAAAGACAGCCAAGTTATTGGCATACTCCAAATTCCTGTGTTTGGAATGCTATTTCCACCTTCTAGCGGTGCTGTAGGGGACGGCATCGAAAATGTAGCACAGGCTTCAGAGATGCTCGTTCCGAATGGCCACCCACTGCTGCGAAGACAGTAGCTCTTCTGTGAGGCACAGCTGAAGGCATTCAAAAAAGCATCACTGCTTTTCTGCAATATAATGTCCAGAACTAAGCTCTGTTTGGGTCGACGGCCCAATTTTAGTGTCTCCCCACCCTATACGGAGAGGAAGTACACAGGATGTTGGGGAAATGTTCTGTTGCATTTCAGCACTACAGCCTATGTTAGATTGTAGTTTACTGCAAATGTTGATTTTTAGCTTTCTTTCTTCTTTTTTTAAACAACACTTATTTGTCCAGTGAATTAGCACTTGAATCTTGCCTATATCTAACGCGGCCATTTTCAATGCCAAGGTTTTACAATTAAAAATTATTTCTTTATACTTGGAGTTGATGGCGTGAGGTTCCTAATCAGGAGACGGACCGTGTCACAGGGTACTCGTTAGGAGGGCCAACCGAATTCCAGAAATCAGGATACTATCGGCACAACACGCGTACATAACATGCAATGGAAATGAAAGTCTGTAGCCTGCTAGCTATTTTCTGGAGGTTTTTTAAGTTCTGTGACTTCTAGCGGGACTAGGCAAACAGTAGCTCCTTCCCGGATTGTCTTGCTAAACCACTTTCACAACTCGAGTAGCGTAAGACCGCAGCAGTAGTTGGGGGGAAGAGCTCTAAGCATTTGGCTAACTTATTAATCTGTGGGTTCCCTCCTGTGCCGTTGCTGTTGTCTTACACTGCTGAAATTGTTTGCTGATGCCCACTGGGGAGGGGCCATGGCACAGTGGCACAGCCTCTGCTTTGCATGCAGAAGGTCCCAGCTTCAATCCCCAGCATCTCTGATTAAAGAGGACCAGGTAGCTGTAGAATGTGAAAGACCTCAGCCTGAGACCCTGGAGAGCCACTGAGTAGACGGGGGTGTCAAACATAAGGCCCGGGGGCCGGAACCGGCCCATCCAGGACTGTTATGTGGCCTGCAAGCAACTGGTGCGAGGGAGGGAACAGGAGACTGCTCGGGGGTGGGTGGGCGGAGCCACTTCAGCTTCAGCACGGTGGGACAACCTCGTCTGCAGCAGTCAAGCAGAACTCCTTCACTTCAGGGACTGGTAAGTCGAAAGCCACTGCTTTCATCCCCCTCCACTCGGCCTGCAGCTCCAAGGATGCTGTCCCGGATGGCCACGGGGATCAGTGTTCGCAGGTGAAGGGGGGGTACAGACGATCCTCTGTTGGGGCACGGGAGTGTCTGCCCAGCGCTGCACTGCTGGCTCTCCGGTCCACCCATGTGGGTTTTCCTCTGCACCCCCCTTCCAGCCCACGGGGTCTTGCAGGGAGGATACACCAACCCGGAGCTTACCAGTTGCTGTTCTTTCTACCTGCAGTATCTCCGGCACCTGGCATTACATTTTATGGCACACGTAGCCCGGCCCAACAAAGTGACATTTATGTCAGATCCGGCCCTCATAACAAATGAGTCCGACACCTCCGGAGTAGACCATCTCAACCTTGATGGAACACTGGTCCGATTCAGAATAAGGCCGCTTCGCATGTGTGTTTCAGTGGTTTTGCGAGACAACACAAAAAGTCGCTTGTGGTTTGCCTGCAGTCTGTGTCCCTCCCTGCTTCATCTGCCTCCAGGCTAAGGGAACGCCTGTAATCTCTACACACTCCCCCCCCAAACTTTAGTTTAAAGCCATTGTATTAGTTGGGGGGGGGGGTTATGAGTGATTTGAGTCATGCTGTCAGTGGTTCACGTCTCCTATAAGACTAGCTTATGCTGCAGAAGGCTGAAGCTGTGGAGGTGACTCGCCCATCCCGGCAGCTGCACTCGTCGGTGAGACGGCCCCTGCTCCAGTATCCTCCGCAGTTCGCCTGTTTCAAGACTTTGCGTTAGGTCTCATTTGGACCCTTTGGGCTACTTCCGCATCCAGCCCCCTAAGTCCTGGGTCGTGACCGACAGCACCACGGCTCTCTCCTCACCGTCCAACTCTACGAAGTGAGGTCCGTCCCCCCTTGAAAGTTGTTATGCCTTGTGCAGGCAGGGCAAAGGGGAGGACGGGAGGAGGCTTCCCGACCGTCAATCCCTCCTGCACCGCTCAGGTGTCAGCAAAAGCGGAGCCCTCCTATCACTTGCCCCCTAAACATGAGGCCGTGTCGCTGTATTTAGAATCAGAACCGTAGAGTCGGAAGGGACCTCCAGGTTCATCTAGTCCCAGTCCCTGAACAAGGCAGGAAATTCACAAATACCTCTCCCCCCCCACACACACCCAGTGACCCCCGTTCCACATCCAGAAGATGATAAAAATCCTCCAGGATCTCCAGCCAAACTGGCCTGGAGAAAAATTGCTTCCTGAACCCCAAAGTAACATCGGCATTTCCCTGGGCGTGTAAGAAAGGGCCACGAGAACTAAGCACTGAGGCAGCCCTTCCTGCCCTCCCTCTCACGATCTGCCCAAGTTCACAGAATCCACATTGCTGACAGATGGCCATCCGGCCTCTGCTTAGAAACCTCCATAGAAGGAGAGCCCACCACCTCCCGAGGAAGCCTGTTCCACTGAGGAACCACTCTGTCAGGAAGTTCTTCCTCATGTTTAGCCGAAAACTCTTCTGATTTAATTTCAACCTGCTGGTTCTGGTCCGACCTTCTGGGGCAACGGAAAACAACTCTGCACCATCCTCTAGATGGCAGCCCTTCAAGTACTTGAAGATGGTGATCATATCCCCTCTCAGTCGTCTCCTCTCCAGGCTAAACATACCCAGCTCCCTCAACCTTTCCTCATAGCTCTGAGAGAGGAAGAAAAGGGTTCAGTTTTCCATTCAAAAGGCACCTTATTTGTATTACTTGCTTGACAATACTTCTCCAAGAACAAGCAGCATAACAGCTGTTGATCTGAAATTACAGAATTTTTTATGAGGCATCTGTACGCGCTACTCTGCAACCCGTGCCACTCATATCCAGCTGCCACTCACTTCTGCGGACAGTTTCACAGTACTGAAATATTTCTACACAAAGGACTGTCAGTATTTAAGAAACTGAAGACTAATGGACTTTGGTCTCAAACGTTAGGGCTCACCAAAGATTCCATGACTTTACCATAACCATTTATTATTTTCAGTTTCTTTTCTCCACAGGGGGGGGGGGGGAATGTTTCTTCACTCCTTCCCCCCCCCCCCAAATTCTTCATACATCCCTCAATTTATAGACGTCAAAAGAACCAGACCTCAATAGTTCTCGAGATCAATCAATGCGCTGCTCTTTCGAGCATTTATTTTCACACGTTTAAGAAGTTATTTTCTTAAAGAGAAAGGAATGCACAGAGTTAATTGTTGCATATGGAACAAATACTTTGAGGTTTCCCATAAAATGCTGGCACGTACCCTGTTGTGCAGTACGTATTGCAAAGTTTGCCTTTCACAGTCAAGTGACAGGATGGAATTGGAATTCTCCCTAGCTGCGAGAACAAGCTTGCTGTCCCGCAACAGTCTTCTCTGCGGTGGAGGAATGACTCTAGTCTCACGGTCTCGTCTGAGTAGTGATGCAATTCAGTGACGGATACCCACCCATAAACATAACAAACAAAGCAGCATTCGGCCACGGTTCTGGCAAAACGGTTTCATCGGTCCAGGGAACGCTTCTGCGCGGCCTCACAACACACGTTCCTGAGAAGGTTAATTACAGCTCTGGGGTCGTCACTCTTCATGATGGCGCTGCCGGACACGATCATATTGGCCCCTGCCTGGAATCGGGACAGAACGTTGTATTTCATGACTTTCATCCTAAAAGCTTCCTCAAAGGAGGATAACATAAGAAGAGCCCTGCTGGATCAGACCAGTGGTCCCTTTAGTCCAGCATCCTGTCTCTCACAGTGGCCAGCCAGTCCCTCAGAAGGCCAGCAACAGGGCACAGAGGCTGAGGCCTTCATAAGGACGTAAGAAGAGCCCTGCTGGATCAGACCAGTGGTCCCTTTAGTCCAGCATCCTGTCTCTCACAGTGGCCAGCCAGTCCCTCAGAAGGCCAGCAACAGGGCACAGAGGCTGAGGCCTTCATAAGGACGTAAGAAGAGCCCTGCTGGATCAGACCAGTGGTCCCTTTAGTCCAGCATCCTGTCTCTCACAGTGGCCAGCCAGTCCCTCAGAAGGCCAGCAACAGGGCACAGAGGCTGAGGCCTTCATAAGGACGTAAGAAGAGCCCTGCTGGATCAGACCAGTGGTCCCTTTAGTCCAGCATCCTGTCTCTCACAGTGGCCAGCCAGTCCCTCAGAAGGCCAGCAACAGGGCACAGAGGCTGAGGCCTTCATAAGGACGTAAGAAGAGCCCTGCTGGATCAGACCAGTGGTCCCTTTAGTCCAGCATCCTGTCTCTCACAGTGGCCAGCCAGTCCCTCAGAAGGCCAGCAACAGGGCACAGAGGCTGAGGCCTTCATAAGGACGTAAGAAGAGCCCTGCTGGATCAGACCAGTGGTCCCTTTAGTCCAGCATCCTGTCTCTCACAGTGGCCAGCCAGTCCCTCAGAAGGCCAGCAACAGGGCACAGAGGCTGAGGCCTTCATAAGGACGTAAGAAGAGCCCTGCTGGATCAGACCAGTGGTCCCTTTAGTCCAGCATCCTGTCTCTCACAGTGGCCAGCCAGTCCCTCAGAAGGCCAGCAACAGGGCACAGAGGCTGAGGCCTTCATAAGGACGTAAGAAGAGCCCTGCTGGATCAGACCAGTGGTCCCTTTAGTCCAGCATCCTGTCTCTCACAGTGGCCAGCCAGTCCCTCAGAAGGCCAGCAACAGGGCACAGAGGCTGAGGCCTTCATAAGGACGTAAGAAGAGCCCTGCTGGATCAGACCAGTGGTCCCTTTAGTCCAGCATCCTGTCTCTCACAGTGGCCAGCCAGTCCCTCAGAAGGCCAGCAACAGGGCACAGAGGCTGAGGCCTTCATAAGGACGTAAGAAGAGCCCTGCTGGATCAGACCAGTGGTCCCTTTAGTCCAGCATCCTGTCTCTCACAGTGGCCAGCCAGTTCCTCAGGAGGGCCAACAACAGCATATGGAAGCCTTCCCCAGATGTTGCCTCCTGGCTCTGGGATTCCTGGCACTGACTATCTCTGAACAAGGAGGTTCCCTTTAGTCACCCTGGCTAGTAGCTATTGACAGACTTCTCCATGAATCTATCCTCCTTTGAGAGCTGTCTATGCCTGTGGCCATCACTACACCCTCTGGCAGCCAATCCCACATTTTGATCACTCGCTGTGTAAAGAAGTATTTCCTTTTGTCCGTCCAGAATCTACTAAGTATGCTTGCATGCTGTATTTAAATAAGAAATGCACTTCTGCTTGTCCAGTAGAATAACTGTATACAGAGGATGCCAAAACAACTCCATGGACAAAGTTCATGCTTTAGCTGTTTCAAAGGGGTGTTTTTCAATGCCAAGATAAGGGTTTTAGGGTTAGACTAATGCATGTATGTTAAGGCTACTCAAAAATGCCCCGCAAGACCACTGTCAGAAAAGTAGCTAGTGAAAAAAACATCAGCATTCAAACGATGCCCTGAGCCTTTACAACCTGACCCACCAGGTCAGAATGAGACAATTCCTAGATTCCTAACCTGCAGTTTCAACATTCACAGAGAAACAAAAGCACTCCTGTAGCACTTTAAAGGTTAAGGGACTTAGGAAAAGTAGGTGTGAATCAAAAACCCCCAGAGGAAAGCGTTTCACTTCATGAACCCTTTGGCAGAGGCAAGCAGAGACGGAATAAGCCCTGTGTATGCAAAACGACAGACAGTCTGTGCCGCAGACGTCCTGAGGATTTCACAAGATCCCACGTCTGTTTTCAGCATCGGACTAACATGGCTCGGCACCTCGAATGTCAGACCTTAACGCAAGTTGCTTTTTACCTCTGCACATTTATGAATGGTATCCGGCCCAACGCCACCATCCACTTCAATATCCAAGGAAGGGAACTGCGTTCTCAGCCAGTTAACCTAGTTTGCAGCACAAAAAGAAAGCACAAGAACTGCTGTGGGTATTCTCTTTCAAGGTGTGCAATAGCAGAATCAAGAAGAAGAAGGGAAGAAGAGATTGGATTTATACCCCGCCCTTCACTACCCAAAGGTGTCTCAGAGCAGCTGACAAACTCCTTTTCCCTTCCCCTCCCCACAACAGACACCCTGTGAGGTGGGTGGGACTGAGAGAGCTCTGACAGAAACTGCTCTTTTTCAAGGACAGCTCTGCCAGAATTATGGCTTGCCCAAGGTCATCCAGCAGCTGTGAGTGGAGGAGCGGGGGAATCAAACCCGGTTCTCCCAGATTAGAGTCCGTGCACTTAACCACGACACCAAACTGGCTCTCTCAAAATCAACATTTTAGTACAGCAACATTCTGAAATAACATTTAACAACAATTCCCGTTGCCTTATCAATTGCCTCCCCAACACACACACACACACACACACACACACACACCAGTCTATCCGCAATAATCAAAACCCATCAAACCCACCTTTGGCATCATATCTTCCATGAACTTCTGACCCCCAAAGCCAGGCTCCACTGTCATGACTAAGGCCATGTCTATCTGACTGGCCCACGGTGCTAAATATTCTACTGTCGTTCCCGGTTTGATAGCCAAACCAACCTATGGAAGAGGAAAAAACCAATGATCAGGAATCTGCACCTTGTGAAGCATCTGCTCCGTCTTGAGGAGGCGAACAAAAGCACATGGACCATCAAAGTGCTTTTCGACAAATTACAACGGGTTATACCAGGGAAATCACCAACATAGGCAAGGACGGTTCGGTAGCCCATATGATATTCACAGGCCTGTTTTCTGCCAGAAGGGCTTTTGGATCACGCTTAGTTGTGCTTTGGCCCGTATCCTCTGTGCTCTTACCGCAGGAATCAGATGCCGTGTTTCCACGCGTCTCCTCTGGAGAACGCAAGACCCAGGACTTCTGCTGAAACTGCTCTCCCGTCTGCACAGTTGGAAGGATGTTCTAGCAGAAAGACACCTGCCTTTGTCTCAAATGTATTCCCGCAACCCCAGCTGTGTGCACTCAGTTGGATCAAGCCACAATCCTTGGTCTCTCAAACAGCACACTGCAGGAATTGCTAAGTGCCCCGTAAAGGAAAACAAAAAACAAAGTCTCCTATTGATCTGAGCTCCTCCATCTGGGCACCATTTCCTACTCTGCCCTGTTGCCTTATTAAACTGCCTCCTAGAAACAAACCATTACCATGTACTAAGGTCAAGAATAAGATCGAAAAGTATCACTATTCTCATACAGATCAGCCTTCCGAAAAGTTGATCTTTCATATGGAAACGCTCCAATTCTTTTACCCCTCAGCCGTACATATTCAGCTAATTTAAACATTTCTGCGAGAGACACAAGTTGTGAATTAAACTATGGCCAGGTTTTTTTTGTTTGTATGCTACTCTCAATATTGTGGCCATGTTGAACAACATCGGAGACACATCTATGGTACTTGTTTGGAAAGACATCTTTCAACATTCCCAAGAAGGACATTAGCAGATTTTGGGTCAGAAATTAATAGACCCAATCAAAACCTGATTAACTGGTCCACTGGGTTCTTTAATACTGGGACGCTCCCACCAAATATTAAAAACTATTCCAAGGCTGTCTACATGTCCCACAAAGATCTCTAATACTGGAGTATATTTGAAGAAGAGATTGGATTTATACCCCACCCTTCACTTGGAGTCTCAGAGGGGCTTACAAACTCATTTCCCTTCCCCTCCCCACAACAGACACCCTGTGAGGTGGGTGGGGCTGAGTGACAGGAACTGCTCTTTTTCAAGGACAGCTGTACCAGAGCTTGTGACTGACCCAAGGTCACATCAGCAGCTGCAAGTGGAGGAGTGGGGAATCAAACCCGGTTCTCCCAGATTAGAGTCCGCGCACTTAACTGGCTCTCATTGGATTAATACCCTGCCCTTCACTTGGAGTCTCAGAGCGGCTTACAAACTCCTTTCCCTTCCCCTCCCCACAACAGACACCCTGTGAGGTAAGTGGGGCTGAGAGAGCTCTGACAGAAACTGCTCTTTTTCAAGGACCGCTCTGACAGTACTATGGCTTGCCCAAGGTCACACCAAGTGCAAGTGGAGGAGTGGGGTTCTCCCAGATTAGAGTCCGCACACTTAACCACTACACCAAACTGGCTCTCATTGGATTTATAGCCTGTCCTTCACTTGTGGTTCTTGCTTACATCCCATGACTAAATAGTTCCAGGACGTCCCAACCGTGAAGGCTTTTTAAAAGTTCTTGCAATTGGATTGTGTTTATTTTTTAAAAAATTCATTTGAGGAACAGTAACTCCAGCTGTTCGGCGACAGGATCCAGGACTCTTTCCACCCATCTCTCACCTTCATTCCATTTTCTCGGATATCCTTGATCAGTGCGCCTGCGTTTTCCGTGGCTTCTATGTGGAAAGTGTACTGGTTTGCCCCCGCCACAGCCATGGGCTTCACCCACTGTTCTGGCTTGGCAACCATCATGTGCATATCTAGAAAGAGCCAAGCGGGAAACCAAAGGAGACGCGGTTACTTTTCCCCCCACGGCTCCAGGCAGGCTTTCATGTAATGGGACATCCCAGGCTCCGGCCCGTAGTGACATTGGGGCATTTAGGGGCCACGCCCCCCACGCAACAGCTCCGCCCCACAAGTCCTCCTCAGCGCCCGCCTGCCACAGGGCAGAGATGGGAGTCAAAGAAGAGCCGCCGTTTTCTCCTGCCACAGTCAGCTGGCACGAAGGGGACGGACGGGACCTACTTGGCTCAGTAAAAAAAGTCCTCCTGTTTTGAGTCAGCAGAAATCCCGCCTCAACTGGGGGGAGAGAAGTGGGGAAGTTGCAGCTTCCCCCTCTTTGCGGGGGTGCAGGATAGTTTTTTAAGTGCAAAAAGTTCTCCTCTCGCACCCTCCGATTTCCCAATGCCCCACCAACCAAAATTTCCTGGCTACGGGCCTGCCCAGGCTCCAAACTGACAACAACTACAACAATAATACAGTCCACAGTAAACAATGACCAAGCAAAACCAATAAATAACAACTGTGCACTGAAAAACCCGCACAAGAGCTAATAAAAAGAGACTTCAACACAATAAGTAATGCAATACATGTAATCCATCACAGGAAAATACACAAGTCCATAATATCCCAAAGGGAAAGAACAAAGTCCAGAATAACAATCTCTCCAAACAATCAAGTCTGGAATAGATTTCAATATGGGCCCGGTCTCCTAAGCTTTAGAAAGCACCTACAAGGGTTGCTACTATGTATGTTGGAAAATACATAGTAGCAACCCTTGTAGGTGCTTTCTAAAGCTTAGGAGACCTGGCCCATATAGAAACTGAATAATGTTTACCTGTTAAGAAACTGCAATGAGACTTCCTGTAGTGGCTTGTAGTTCCCGAGGAAGGACCTGAAGTCTGAAACACTAATCAATACCTAGGAAAAGTGTTGGACATCTATTCCAGACTTCATTGTGGACATCTATTCCAGACTTGATTGTTTTGAGACATTGTTATTCTGGACTTTGTTCTTTCCCTTTGGGATATTATGGACCTGTGTATTTTCCTATGATGGATTACATGTATTGCATTACTTATTGTGTTGAAGTCTCTTTTTAATAGCTCTTGTGCGGGTTTTTCAGTGCACAGTTGTTATTTATTGGATTTCCTTGGTCAGGCTTCAAACTGAAGCATCAGGCTGCCTATAGGGAGAGATGCCTCCTAGGGCCTCCATCCCATCACAAAACAATGGGAGGTCCCACAAAACGGTAGGCGGAGCCAAGCATACGCCTATGACGGTGAGCGCTCCCTCAAGGTGCAAAGGCAATTCTTCCTGGGGTCTTCTGAAGAACCTCCCACTGCAACGAAGTCAGAACCGGCTCTTTGAGGAGGAACCGACAGGCACCAAGAAGCACATCGGTGGGCGCCACGGCAGGGACCGCCATTCCAGTTCATTCCGACGGGAAACTGCCACTGCTCAACTGTATCTTGGGATCACTGTTAACAGCACTTGAGTTTATTCCATGCCATCTGTACCATCTCAGGAGCTTCAGAGCTTATGGAGGGGTCAAAATTATTTATTTGGTTAGGCTATTTTATGCAGCCTCTTCAGAGTCCCGCTCAAGGTAGTTTAGAAGAGGAAGAAGAAGAGAAGAGACTGGATTTATACCCCGCCCTTCAATCGGAGTGTCAGAGCCGCTTACAATCTCCTTTCCCTTCCCCTCCCCACAACAGACACCCTGCGAGGGAGGTGGGGCTTTTTCGCGGACTGCTCTTGAGAGAACAGCTCTGAGAGAACTTGTGACTGACCCAAGGTCACACCAGCAGCTGCATGTGGAGGAGTGGGGAATCAAACCCGGTTCTCCCAGATCAGAGTCCGTGCTCCTAACCACTATGCCAAACTGGCTCTCCTTATAATTGAAACAGTATCACAATATCAAAACAAGCCATTGGAAATAAGCAGCATAAACCCTATCCATAAAATGGAAGCAGCCCATTTAAGAAAAGCTGATATGGTCATACCCCTAATGAAAAGCCCGGATACAGATAGGTGTTGGTGCCACCACAGAAAAGGCCCTGTTGCTAGTCAGCACCCACCTCACCTCTGAAGGCAGGGCCACAGGAAGCAGAGCTTGAGAGGCAGATCATCCATGGAGGGCTGGGCAGTATGGGAGGACAGACAGGAGGAGAACTTACAATTGTTCCTGCATGTGTAGCGGCAGTGTTTAGCTCTCAGAGAAAATATGCTGTCTGCCCAAAACAGATTATTCTAGTTCTGTGTCTGTAACTCAGAAGGCAAATTCACATATTTAAACGGAGAATTCATTGTTAACAGCTTACCGAAAAAGGGTTCCTGCCCCAGCTGCTTCCGAAGGCTCTCTACCACAGGATGGCCAAAAGTGATGTTCGGGACAAAATGCCTACCCAGTTGGGAAGAGAAAATTATACACATTAAGATTCCTGCTAAGAGAGACAGTGTGTGTGTGTGTATATATATATATATATATATATATATATACACACATATATAACACACACACACACACACACATACATATACACACACAAATATTGAGACAGAAGGGCTTATCAGTGTCAGAATTCAGAGGGGCTTTTGTGCTTTTAATCGCACTGTTGTGGTCTTCCTAAAGCCTCACAGATCAGTAACAAAGAGTAGTAAAATGGCCGTCAAATTCGGTGAGAAAGAGGAGGGATATATTTCAAGTTGAGTTGTACAGACTCTAGGCTGCCCAACAACTTAAATGGGGCAAGGAGCCGACACTATAGGATTCTAGCTGCCTCTCCAGACTTCAACAGGAGCTGCAGTTCTGTCCCTCCAGGAACTTGCTAATGTGATGCAAGAGCAGAGTGAGCCAACAGGCTGATGTAAGACCACAGCAGTCAGGGCAGAGAAGAGTCCTCTTTGTTTACAGCTCACGAAATACAGGCCACCCTGATACAAGTTATGCAACGTGTCCCTGTTGCCGCAGAGTACAACCACATCAGCAATTAATACAAATACAGGGACTGCAGTCCAAAATGACTCGTGGAAGGGAAGAAGTGATTGGATTTGCACCCCACCCTTCACTACCCGAAGGAGTCCCAGAGCGGCCTACTATCTCCTTCCCCTCCCCACAACAGACACCCTGGGAGGTAGGTGAGGCTGAGAGAGCTCTGAGAGAACTGCTCCTGAGAGAACAGCTCTGAGGGAACTTCTGACTGGCCCAAGGTCCCACCAGCAGCTGCAAGTGGAGGAGTGGGGAAACCAAACCCGGTTCTCCCAGATTAGAGTCCGCGCTCCTAACCCACTACACCAAAGAGTTAACAACCAACATGGAAAACGTCTGTCTCCACCCAGTCAGTGTGGCGTCCCAGTAACAGTGTCAGACTAAGATCTGGGACATCCACACTCTCCCAAGGTGCTCACTGGGTCACCTTGGGCCCGGTTATGGCCCCTCACAGGGAGGCTCGTTACAAGGATAAAACACAGAAGAAAACCGTGTAAGCTGAGGTATAAACTAAGAAATAAATCCGCCACGCTGCTGCCAGCAAAATTTAGTTGGCTAATCATTCATGCACTCATAAGTGACTCTCGGGAAGAGTAGCACATGAACGCACATGGAGCTGCCTTATATTGAATCAGGCCATTAAGTCCATCAAGATCACTACTGTCATTTCAGACACACACAGCAGACTTCTGTGTCCCCTGCTGCCTGATCCTCTTAAGTGGAGATGCTGGGGACTGAACGGGAGATCTTCTGCATGCATAGCAGAGGCTCTTCCACTGAACTCTCAGTTTGAACTGGAATTGTCACTTAAGTTGGATGAAGCTGAAGGCAACTGCAGTCATAGTGTTAGCTAGAACTATCACTTGAGAGAGAGACACGCACACTTTGGTGCAGTGGTTAGGAGCATCTGGGAGAACCGGGTTTGAATCCCCACGCCTCCACATACAGCTGCTGGAGTGACCTTGGGTCAGTCACAAGTTCTCTCAGAGCTGTTCTCTCAAGGCCTGTTCTCTCAGAGCTCTCTCAGCCCCACCTACTTCACAGGGCGTCTGTTGTGGGGAGGGGAAGGGAAAGGAGATTGTAGGCCGCTCTGAGACTCCTTCAGGTAGTGAAGTGAAATTGTTCTTCTTCCAGAACAATTCGAACTAGTTCAGGAGAATTAAAGCCAAAACAGCCTCCAACAGAAGACGACCAGAAACAGATGGAAAATCATTTCTACCACCGCACTTTACAGCATCAGAAACCCTGAAACACGAAATGTAGTCCCAAGTAGGGGTGCCAACCTCCAGGTGGGGCCTGGAGTTCTCCCAGAATTACAACTGATCTCCAGGCAACACAGAGATCAGTCCCCCTGGAGAAAAAGACAGGTCTGGGTGGCCGGCTCTGTGGTCCCTGTCCTCCCCAGGACCCACCCCACAAATCTCCAGGAGTTTCCCGACCTGGAGTTGGCAACCCTATCCCCGAAATAGTAGCTAAATAAATACAACGCAGGAGTGAAGTTTACACCAGCCATGCTACACCAGCGCTAAGCCTTTCTTATTTCTGCAGGGGTCAAGGAGGGGCTCCCGCCACAGAGACGGGGACAGAGCGGCACCTAACCGCTGACAGTGGGTTCCTGTTTTGACCGGAAGTTACAGGTGCTTCCGACGCTCCCTCCCTTGTCTCTATGGTCTCTTCCCGCAGCGCGATCCCCGGGCCGGCGGCTGGTCAGCGGAGTTACCCGTCCATTACATCCAGGTGCAGGTAGTCGGCCCCGCAGTCCATCATGCGGACGCACTCCGCGCCCAGCGCCGCCAAGTCGCTGTTGAGGATGGACGGGCCTATCCGGCACCCGGAGGCCATGATTGCCCGGCCGGCCCCTCGGCAGCCCTTTCGCGCTAGAGCCGGAAGCGCACGGTGCGCACGCGCAGAACATACTAGGACGAGAGGGCCGCGCAGATTTGTTCCCGATGCCGTGACGGGAAATGTAGTTTTCGGGCCTTACGCCCACCCGGTATCCACAGTTTGGGAGCGCAGTGGGAACTACACGCCCCACAATGCTTAGGGCTAGGAGGCGCGGCTGAGGGTGGTACGCTACAGCCGGGCGAAGCGCCGTTACTAGGGGGAGATTTTTTCCCCGGCAGATAGGGGAGGTGGGGTTGAGGCGAGTACAGCCAATCAGCTCCGTCCTTCTGTGGCCTCATGTGAGAAGCGGAGTCTGACTGGCTGGCTTCGAGGGCGGAGGTGCCCAGCCAATGGCGTGCGGCCTCTTGCGGTCAAGGCCCTCATAGACATGGGCGGCCGATTTTAAGTAGCTGGGGAAGCTGTCACCCGATGTAGACAAGAAAATAAATTGCACGTGGAAAGCGAGGATGTCAGGGAGATGAGCCAGTTTGGTGTAGCGCTTAAGAGTGTGGACTTTAACCTGGGAGAGCTGGGTTTGATTTCCCCGCTCCTCCACATGCAGCTGCTGGTGTGACCTTGGGTCAGTCACAAGTTCCAATCACCTTTATTGGCATGTAGGGTTAGTCACAAGTTCTCTCAGAGCTGCTCTCTCAAGGGTAGTTCTCGGGAGAGCTCTCTCAGCCCCACCTCCCTCACTGGGTGTCTGTGGTGGGGAGGGGAAGGGAAAGGAGACTGCAAGCTGCTTTGAGACTCCTTCGGGTAGCGAAGGGGCGGGGTATAAACCCAAACCCTTCTTCATGTATATGTGTATATTTCTTTGTGGAGCGATTCAGGTGGGTAGCCACCTTGGTCTGAAGCAGCAGAGCAAACAGAGTACAATTGGAGTCTGGTGGCACCTTTAAGACCAACAAAGTTTAATTCTGGCTATAGGCTTTTGTGTGCAGGCACATATCTTCAAATACAGATATATCTGAAGACGTGTGCATGCACACAAAAGATTATACCCAGAATTAAATTTTGTTGGTCTTAGAGATGCCGCAGGACCTTTGTTCCTCTTTATAGACGACTTGTGTATGTGTATGGAAGGCGGTTTGCCCGCTGAGCTCTCACTTGCAGCCAGCGTTGCCAGGTCTGGGTTGGAAAAGACCTGGGAACTTTGGGGGTGGATACAGGTGGGGTTTGGTGAGGGGAGGGGCCTCAGCATAGTACAATGCCATAAGAGCCCACCCTTCGAAGCAGCCATTTTCTCCAGGGGAGCTGATCTCTGTCAGCTGGAGACCAGTTGTAAAAGTGGGAGATCTCCAGGCCCCACCTGGAGGCTGGCAACCTTACTTGCAGTCTGGTGCAGCCCTGGCATTAATTGGTTAGGAGCTGTCACGGCTCAGTTGAGGTGTCACCTGACGCTGCCACCACTCTGGTTCCAGGCTCCTCTGAGAAGGCCCAGAGCACCCTCCCAAGACCTTTAGACCTCCCTTTTGCCGAATAATAGGTGCAAGGGCCAGGCAGAGTGAACAATGAAAATGGTTTATTTTATAGGAGGTCAAACAAAGAAGGCGCAGAATAATAACAATGTGGTTGAAAAGAAATCAAATGCCCTAACGTGTCTAAATATATACTGTCCCTAGCTCCAGAGGTCATTTCGGGGAGGGGGATCGCGGGGGAACGCAGTTC